ATCAAATAAATGATATTTCATAAATTTCGCATTCCTTTATTTCTGATTTATTTTATCCATATAAATGAGGATGTTCACCTTAATTTTGATATTAATCAAATCGATATGAATCACCTAGCTTACAATAACCATGTCCGCCTCCAAAAGTAGAATTACAATAACTTGCACGATACCTCCTATCTTATTTTAAAGAATAAATTTAATTATGAGTTTGAGACAATATAAATTATTATAATGAATCATATTGCCCATAATTATTTAGATTAGATACCCACTTACAAGGAGAATAAACTTCAAAGATATATTCACTTTTGATTGAAAAATCATGAGTAAATTGTCTCTATTATTGACTTCTTACCAAAAAGATTATCCATTTAATCCATTTTTTGTACCTTAAAATATTAAAATTCAACTTTTTATCGTTTTCTTTGTTTTCTCTTGTAAAACAAAAAATTTTAATCCAAAAATCACTAAGCAAGGTTGGTTTTACAATTTGATGAATATCCAAGTTTCTTCAATGTGTCTTGGCATATTTAAGACCTCCCCAATTTAAAGTTACCATGCTTTTATGACGTAATCGAAATTGAAAGGTAAAATGTTATAATCGTATAAACAGCTTTCACACACTTGCTCTCGCCCTCCTAGTTTGGAAAAAGAGAAAAAAGCTTTGAAACCTTAGCGCATTAAATTATTAAATGAAACAATTTACTAATACGCTGATGTTGATCATCATAATGAGTAATTATTTTTTGGTAATCAATTCATACTACATACTTAATGCTACCATTTAGAATATCGGATTGCTAGTTTTAGGAATACAACTTAATGTAAATCTTTCTTACACGCCATAAATATTTATGTAATTTTCTAGCCTTCAATAGGCCAAATAATTATATGAATTAATTTTCTTTGCTAAAGTTTATTTTGCCATAAGAGAACTAGCAATACATTTATCTTAGGAAATGCAATGTTCTTCTGACTTAAACGAAATTTTGAATCTTATTGAGAGGAGGGTACCAAAGCTAGCTTCTCTTATTTTTCCATTACTTATAATTATTTTAATATTAAAGATCAATA